CTATAGCTCACGTGATCAGTGTCTTGATTGGTAACCTGTTGGATCACGCGATCACGCAAGGCAGCCAGTTTCTTCGCTGGTTCAGTATGGTGGCCCATTCTGAGATTCTTTTATCAAAGTGTGCTCAGTTTCGAGAGCAAGGTGAATTTATTGATGTTCGTTTACAAGTAAACGAAGAAGTTTTCTCTGCTCATCGAATTGTGCTTGCCGCAAGCAGCGATTATTTTCACGCCATGTTTGCTCATGGAATGAAAGAGTCAAACCAGGAAGTGATCGAGCTCAAAAATGAAAGCATTTCAACAGCTGCTTTGAAGATCGTGCTGGAGTCCATCTACAGCGGAGACCTTCAAGTCAACGATGAAAACGTATTTGAAGTTCTTGTCGCAGCCGATCATCTCCAAGTTAAAACTGTCGTTCAACAGTGTTGCGACTACTTGCAAAACCAGTTTGTTCAGCTTCGATTTGATGTGCAGAGATATTGTCAAATCTGCATCATCGCTAATCGACACGGACTGACAGACCTACAAGAAGCTGCACAAAGCAAGATGGCGTCAATGTACAAGGAAGTTTGTGAAAAAGAAGAATTCTTGTCCCATGTTGACGCCGGTCAGCTCTCACACCTTCTCAGACGAGATGACCTGAGTGCTCCTTCGGAGACGTTCGTCTTCAAATCCGTGATGCAGTGGATCAAACACAAGAAGGAAGCGCGAATGCCAGTCGCGGCCAAAGTTATCGGAGCAGTTCGTCTGGGGTTGGTAGACATCAAGGATTTGATCGAAGAACTCGAAATCGATGAGATGCAACAGGTGCCAGAGATTCACATGCTTCTCCATGAATCGCTATTACATTTCGCCAGGCCTTCGAACAGTTCCAACTTTGCTAAAGAAAGGGCACAACGACGATCAACGGGTCGAGTAAGTTTATATGCTTTTACAATGTTGTCTTAGAGGGATTCGCGTTAAGGGGTCGGGGTGTCCGTATCCTAGTTGTTTTTCACCCGTTTTGACCTTCACTTAATTCCAATCCTACTTTATAGTTAGAGGCTAACAAAAAATGTGCCTCCCCACGGATCATCATTTTTTCTACTGAATTTCAACAAATTCATAAAAGATGGGTGAATTTTGCACGCAACCGCCTCATTAGTAATTCAAGATACTTGTAAGTGCTCGGGCAACAGGAACGGGTCTTCGTTCTAGATGAATATCTCAAGGAGCCTGAACGCTAACCATCTCGTTAGTCTCGCTTGCGCAAGCAGCGAGACTCTTTTGGTCGTATTTTATACACAAATGGGGGGGTCATTGTGCCAGGCGTTCCTAGCGGAGACCGTGGAAACTGGAACTAAGTATCGTTGCGTGATCGGAGTCACACGTGTTTAGGAAAGATTTAAAAATTTAGAGCTTTTCCGAAACGTGTTGGTCCACGAATTCTATCGCTTCAAAGCGTTGATTACTTTGGAACAAGTGAACTCTACTGAGTAGTTGGAAAAAAAAAGAAATAAGAACCTTTAATTAGCAAAACTGCGATGGTCGGTTGTTGTGATGAGAATGCCGTTTACTTTTGGCGATGATTGAAATGACGTGCCATGTTAATCTTTTTTTTGATCTCTGGCAATGATGTAGTTTCTCTGGAATCGTAGACTACGAGTAGTCCCCCATTTTTCCTCAGGGATAGTAGAGCGAGCGAAACGTGAGAGCGCGTGAAAATCACCCCACGCGAGAAAAGGCGACACGCGGCGGGGAGAGACAAAATGAGGCCCTTGAATTTTTGTTACACGTGTATAGCCTGCGACCGCATGACGTATTTCCGGTCGTCGCTAACACGCGTACCTAATCAATTCAGAACAAAGTAAAAAACCTAGCGAGTAAATGCTGTTTCGTGTAGAATTAATCACCTCCTCATTTCTCGATCTAATCTCCAAGCAAGTGTCGCTGTAAGCGCGTTCTTGTTTTACAAAAAACGGTTACGGTAGGTCTTCAATTAAAATTCATACTTGGTTCGAGGCTTGGGGGAATAAAACAAAGGAAATGTTTCATTCATTGCTGACCCTGAAAATGATTTATTTTGTTTCATTACCTCAAGCCTTGGAGCTAAGAATGATTTTTAATATCGAAAGTGGTCTATTGGCTACAGAATTAATTATAATGCAGTATGGTTCGAATCTTTCTCTTTTTTGCCGTCGTCCGTCTTCTTGTGGCTGTTCATGAAAACTGCCATTGATCGCCATAACAAAATTTCAAGTAACATAGAAGCTACGAGAAGGATATACTACTGAGTGCAAAATGGACAACAGCGAGACAACCTGACAACCCCCCCTCCCCCCACCCCACATCTGCATGGACTTAATCAATTAATAACTTGTTAGCCATATATGGTTAGGAATTTTTTGTTGTTTGTAATTTTAGTTATTTGGAAATAGTTGATATACTACTTATTGTATAAGACTCCAAATAAAAAAAACATGTATGTATGTACAGGTATGTGCTGGTATGTATCTAAGTGTACGTTAATTACTTAATCTTCAAAGTGCCGGGAAGCAAGAGAAATGAAAGACCCTCGAGTTCGTAGCCTTTCTTTTAATTTCGGTGTTATCGTCTTTGTAAATCTTATTTAAAAAAGCCTTCCTCCTACATTTTCAAAAATATTTACCAACGTTTTTACATTTTTTTCTCGCTATTTTAGGTCATTGTTGCTATTCTTCCTAAGACTCATATGATGTACTTTGATATTGAAGAGAAACAGTGGAAGCAACTTTCATCCTTGGCACCAGCAACTAAGAATGCAGTGAAATGTTACTGTGCCGAGACTGTTGGTGGTGAACTCTTTGTTGCTATTGATTCCTGTATTTATTGCTATGACATAGAAACAGATAGGTGGCAAATGCACGAGGATCCACCACACAAAAAAATCAGCAGCCTGAGCACTATAGGCGATTACATGTATGCAGTCAGTTCTAAAAGCAAAGAGGTAACTCAAAGGTATAGCTTTCCAAAGCGAAAGTGGCAAAGTTTTGAAAGAGCAAGCGATGCTTTTACAAAATGTTTAGACTATTATGAGTACTATAACTGTGGGACAACGGCTCTTTGTTCAAAAGTGTACGCACTATATGGGCATAAAGAGCAAGAGCACAAGTCAGACCGTTACCAAATACACAATGCAGTGCTTCATTGTTTTGACCCAGAGAGCAATCAGTGGCATGAAAAAACATCAACTTGCCGTCCTCACTTTGGGTCTAGTCTTTTTGTAGTCAATGGTAGACTCTATGTAGCAGGGGGTTATGAAAATATTGAAAGCCCCTTCGCTAACCCTGCACCTGTAGAAGTTTACGACGAACACAACAACAAGTGGTCGGTTGTTGAACAAAAACGTATTCCCAAAAACAACCTTGGTGCGGTGGAAATAGAAGGGAGGGTTTACTTCATCATAAACAAATTTCCAATTGACAGTGGCATTAGAATTCCACCTGAAGAGGTGTACCCTGTTTATCTGGGGGACTGGAAAAATTTAGGAAACGTTGCCGATAATGCAGCCCTATGTTACGCACCTTTAAAAAGAGAGAGCTTTAAAGCGGACTAAGAATACTTGGTAAAAACGCCGGAACGGTGGCTAGAACGTTGTCAGAAAAGTCGCCGAAAAGGGGGTTTAAGTCGTTCAAATCTTTGCAAGTAGAGTGACGTTTATGTTACACTTCTAATTTTTGAAGAAAACAGCTTTATCCACTAAGGCTCATGTAAAACTATTCGGAGATTTTAATGAGATAATAAATCAACTATACTGAAATATCCAAAACTAAAGTTAAATATAAAGTGTAAGTTGTACTCTTTTAAGTTACTGCATTACCCACTTCGATTAGCCATCGCTATATATTAGTGTCAGCAGTATATATCTTTATTGTATATTGCTATATAGCAATAAATAGTCAGGTAAATCACTTTTCTTCCAGTGAAAGTTTCTGCTTACGTTGAAATTAGAAAAGTTTCTAGCGTACAGGATATTTTACACTAACTCCAGTTTAGATGAATTTTCTAGTATTTTATTTCCTCACGTATGATTTCTTAAAAACACCTGTATAGTACTGTTATGGTTAATCAAATAAATATACCAAGCTTCTTAAAGATGTAATTCTTTTGTTACTTCCTGTATAAATAACAAGGAAATATCTCTATTTTTTGGTTAATTAACCCATCGAATGCACGCAATTGTCTTTCAGCTGCATTACATTAGGGAGCTTAAGCAAAGGTGTTTTTAAGCGACGGACGTCAACCGGAAGTGAGACTTTTTCTCTTTAAAATGCTTTGGCGCCATCAAGTTTGAAATGCCAAGTGTGTTTTCTCTCTTGAAACGATTTGTGCGAATTTTTTCGTAAACCACTACCCAGGAATGCAAAAGGTCTACTTCCGGTTGACCTGCGTCGCTCAAAATCTTCTTTGCTTAAGCTCCCCATCATCTTAAATTGACTGTGTACCTTGCTTTTTTGATAGATAACTTCTAGTCTTTTCCAGTTCTAGACAGATTGCTGACAATAAACAAAAACTCAATGTTTGAACATTTCCCATTGCCCTTTCCACGCGGCATCAAATCCTGCAAACAATAACGTTAACTGATTTGGTTTACTTTAAGGGATGTTCCCTGATGAATCAATTAGCCTTAACATACCGACTTCTACAAGAGATGGGATGTCTGTTAGTTGATACCCTCTCAATCTACCCAGTACGTAGGTTTTAAGGAAAGGATAAAACATCAAAACATCCCTATAAACCACCACAAATACAAATCAAAGCCTCTCTCAGGTGTAAGATACTAGCCATACCCGGAACTGTGCACAGTGACCGGTGCTTTTAGATCGTAAGGTTTATCATGGTTTTTGTTTTCACTAGGTTTCCGGAGTATTACTTTACTAAATAAATGTACTATTTCCGAGAAGCATTATATGGCGCTCTTGTGCCGCGAGGTGGCGGTCCCATCGTCCCCATGTTTTGTGGCTGCACGATGGCTCCTGGGTATCGAGGAGCCGCTGAACGAAACTGAGACTGCAACGCAACAGCGTGAGCTCCAAAGGGAACAGCGGCATGAGTGTGTACAGTCATGGGCTGGGCTGCAACAACTTGGCGCGGATAATGGGCAGGGATGGCGTGGCGCGCATATGGAATAGGCACAGGAATAGGAAGGGAGGGGGTGTGTGTAGTGTACACTTGTTGTATAGCGGGGTAGCCAACATTTGCTTGTGTGGCTTGCCAGTGACTGGGGGAGGGGTGGCGACCTGGCTGTGTTTGTACAGATGGCTTGCCACGTCTATTGGTGTTATTCGTTGACCTGGGAGTGCGTACACTAGGACCGGCCTGATCAACATCCCAAGACCTGTTAAGTTCTTTACCAATTTTGGACTCCAACTCCTGAGAACCAAAAAGACGGTTTTTCCTATCTGCACTAACTAATCACCTCGATATCCGATTCTCCCCTTTCAGCGGCTTTATCACTGAGCCCTTTCGGCACCCTTTCACGAGTATGCTTCATCCTGGCATTTCACATTTCTCCTACATCTGTGCCTTAACTACACATATGTTGTCACCTGACTTTCCATCCTTACATGTCCGAGATCCAGATGTAAGCCTTGCTGTCCCATCAATACGCTGATAGCACTTCTTCACAAATCAAGCTCCGACTCCGCGTCCTTTATCTTATTTATCTCCAGTAATTTACTTAGTAACGATTTTGGCCACAGACACTGCGGTAACTGTATGGCCGCAAAATAGAGGACGGCTTCTTAAAAGGAAACCCCATAACACATAACATACCAGAACTGTCCGTGCATTCATGTTAAAAGCTTAGGTTAGGTTTACTATAACTTTTATTCAAACTATTTACGAAACGTTGGCTGAAGCGCTGCTTTAATGATGATCGCTTTCAAATAAGGGAGGCGTTTACTCAAAGGGAGTGGACTTCAAAATAGATTTATTGAAATATAACTAGTAGTCTTAATTCTCTCTTGATTGAGTACTTTAGCCTGAGTGTCCAACTTTAAATAAAATTTCTCTGATCATTTACCATGTACGTATATCAGCCTCCCCGGGGGTACTCCCTTATATTAGCATATAGGTATGTGCCACCCAGAAGGATATGGTTTTTTCGCCGTTTTAGGTCTGAAAACGGGAATTCATTTTGTCCATTTTGGACTGGAATCAGGTATGGTTTTCGAGGGAACTATGGTAGCGTATGAACGATTGTTCTAAATGAATACTGAGAAAGAAAGAGTAATATACGAAATCGAATGCAAAGTGGATTCAGTTTCTTAAGTTAAGGAATCTTTCATTTGGCGTTCAGCTGCGTTCTAATCTAATACTGATGACATAATTTCTTGGAGACCAGTTCTAAAAACGAGTATGGATTTTAGAGGCCTGGTTTGAAAACGGGTGTGGAAAATTTTGGTCTGAAATAGGGTCAGGATTAGGAGAACTGGGCGGAAAAACCTGACCAAGAATTCCCAGGAGTCCCCCCCCCCCCCCGAAAAAGATCTCACCGCATTTGCCCTTTTTTTCCTTCCTTTTTTTTTTTTTTTTTTTTTGCTTTAACCCCCGGAAACTTTTTGGGGCCCCCTTTTTTTTACCCGCCCCGCACCCTAAAACCAAAGTTGCGAGGTTAGTATGCTGGCACTGTCCTTACCCAACGCAGAAACCAATATTTTGGTCTGAAATAGGGTCAGGATTAGGAGAACTGGGCGGAAAAACCTGACCAAGAATTCCCAGGAGTCCCCCACCCCCCCCTGAATAAGCTTGCACTCCATTGCGCTTTTCTTAGCTTCCTTTTATTTAGTTTTGCTTTTGACCTTAACCACAGGAACAGTTTGAGGCACACTTTTGTTGACCCGGCCAGTAACTCTAACTCAGAAGTTGGTAAGTGCCATAGCAGCCATAGTCCTAACCTCAGCAGACACCAATTTCGTTTGTATCCTTAAAGGCAATTTTGCGCTGTGGTTTTGGGTTACTTAACTGCAGGGCCTAATGACATACGTCCCAATGCTTAGTACTAAAAAGCAAAACTGATGAGTCCTAATAAGGACGAAAACCAGCTGTGATATGACTGCGCGAGTGATATGACTGTGAGTTGGTCAATATAGTGTAATACTGACTTATTTGACTTAACTCTGGATTAAAGTTTGAGTTTACCTCGTACGCAAAAAATTATTTTGCAAATCATAAGTGACTCACTTTTCATTTGCAAACGACAGAGTCATCGCCATGGCCCCCAGTCTGGATGACTGCGTCATAGTTTTGTGACGTTGACGCGTTGGGGACGCTAAATCGCCGGCTATTTGGACTTGTCAGCTGGACCGCCTGGAGTGCTTTAACACTAGTCCGTTTTAAAAAATAACTACGGAGCAGAAACTGCTTGTTTGGACCTTTTTTCTATGAAAAAAAAAGGAGCCGTAGGTCCTGTCTAACACTTCATTCACTTACAGTTAACCAACACAAAAACAAATTGAGACAAGAACGCTCTTAGTAGCGTTGAGTCTCGCTTGTTTGGAGATGAGTTTAAAGGTCAAAGGCCCCGGTGCCGTTACTACTTTTTCGTTGGAATACAAAACGAGTGTTGTATGTCATAATGTATACACTCAAAAAGTAAAAATTGCAAGGAGAGACAGGCTGCACATCTTAGCCTCAAACCGGTGTGAAATCTTTGAAAACCTTCTACATATTGATATTGTTCCATTGAGGAGTACTCTTTCAGGGATTCTACACTCGAAAAATCGAACGATGATTTTTATCGGTATCAGGGGCCCCTGACTTTGTCAGTATAAATATACATAGCTTCTTTGTACCGGACCAAGATACGGCTCGGTAAAGTACATGTTCAGCACAGGAAAAAAGTGTAAGTTGAACAGAACCTTATACAACACACAGTAAATTTAGTTCGCGCGTATTCCTGCTGAATTTGTTGTCCGTTTTATAAGATATCAATATCGCATGAAAGTAATGACATTTTCCATAGCTGCAGTGCTTAG